AGCGAGCCTATCCCTGTCCATTCTTATTAGATGCCCGAACCAACGTAGTCGTTGCTTTTTCATAGTTTGCACAACGGCTGGTAACTTAACTCTTTCTCTTATTTCTGCATTTGATACCTTGTGCGTCTAGTTGATTTTTAAAATTTTCCTCAAACATATGTAATTAAAAGAATTTATTTTTTCTTCTTGTTGTTTGGTTAGCTGCCACGTTTCACTACTATATATGAGCACTGCTATTACATTTGCTCTGTACAGCTGCATCTTTGTTTTCAATGGAATACCTTTATTTTGCCATACTTTGTTTAGTACTTTCAGTGCATATACTGCTTTAGCTATTCTGTTGTTTATCTCTATCATGATGTCACCTCTTTGAGATATTTTGCTGCCCAAATACATAAACTCCTGCGCCTTTGCCAATTTATTGTTATTAACCATAATCTCTACACCATCTCCAAACTTGTTTTCATTTACCACCATAATATTTGTTTTCTTTGCATTTATTTTTAGCCCTATTGATTTAGTACGAGTGTCTATACGATCTGTTTTTTCTTGCATTTTCCGTGTATTATCAGCTATAAGTACGATATCGTCTGCAAAATCCAAATCTTCTATTTCCTGTTTATAATTCAATTTAATTCCTAACTTTTGATCTTTCAGAGCTTTTTGAAGTATCCAATCAATCGTAATAATAAACAGTAAAGGCGAGAGAATACATCTTTGTCTAACTTTCGTCTTGATCTTAAACCATGCAGTGTTCTCTTCTTCATTTACTTTCACACACGACTCAGCATCTTCATATAAGCTTTTGATGATTTCTATGATTTTTGTTGGTATACCGTAAGACTTTAGAATTTCCCATAATGGTTCCTGATGTACTGAATCAAATGCTTTTTCAAAGTCAATAAAACAAAGCACAAAGCACTTTCCTAGATATTGACAGCAGCGTTATACCTCTCCAATTATTTGGATCACGTAAATTACCTTTCTTTGGCAACTTTACAATAATACCACGTTTAAATTGTTTTGGGCTCTTATTTTGTTTCCATATATGATTCAACAGCTTCTGCAGTCGTTTTGCTGTTATATTTCCACCAGCCTTTAACATTTCTGCACTAATCTTATCTACTCCAGGAGCTTTGTTGTTTTTCAATTTTCTTATGGCCTGCTTTACTTCGTTTAGAGTAATTGCATCTTTCTTGATGTCTAATAATCGACTCTTTCCTTCTTCAAAAACTGCCCGTTGCTCTGGGTTTGGTCTATTGAGCAGATGTTCAAAATACTCTCGCCATCTGTCTTTTTTCCCCTCTATTGTTGTTATTAGGGTATCATCAGTACTTTTAACTGGCAGCTCATTTGCAACCTTATATTTTGTGCATATTTCATTCACTAATTTATACAGCTTCCGAGAGTCTTTCCTTTCTCTGCAGTCACTTCAGCTTCTTTTGCTATATCTGCCATCCATTTGTTTTTCTCTCTTCGTGCGGCTCTCTTTATTTTTTTATCTAATAATTTATATTCTTTGAATGTTACTTCATTTTCTTGTGCTTTGACCTTTATTTTATTCCTATTCTCTATTAGTTGCTAGGTATCTTTGCTCATCCACTTCTTTCTTCTGGTTTTCATATATCCAACAGTTTCAGCTACAGCTTCATATGTTGCTTTTGTGAAATTTTTCCACGTGTTCTATATCTTCACCATTCATCGCCGACAATACTTCGTATTTATTCTGAAGTTTCAGCTGAAATTCTTGTTGTAGCTGTTTACCTTGTAGTTCAGCTAGATTTAACTTTCTCGAAATCGTCTTCTTTTTGTTATCCTTATTAGCTCTTAACTTTATTTTCATCTTTGCAATGACCAATTCATGATCACTATTTATGTCAGCACTTCGGTGCGTTCTGACATCTTTTAACGATCTAATCCACTTACCACACACTGCTATGTGGTCAATTTGATTTCGAGTCTTTTTATCTGGTGACCTCCATATGTACTTTTATTTCCATTTGTGCTGGAATTTCGTACTTCCAATTACCAAATTGTTTATCATGCATAAGTTAACAAATCTTTCTCCATTATCATTTCTATCACATATTTGGCCCTGCTTATCCATTATACATTTTTCTTCATCATTTCTTGGTTGTCCTGCTTTGGCATTTAAATCCCACACTACAATCAGAACATCATGATTATGCACTGAATTAATAACGTCTTGTAATTTGTTGTAGAATTCATCTTTCTTCTCGTTCTCATTTTCATTTGTTGGTGCATAACATTGTATAATCGTGAACTTTGCATGTTTTGAGACCAACCTAATTATTATTATACGTTCGTTTATAGGTTTGCATTCTTTAACCAGTTTGTTCATTCTATTTGAAACTACAAAACCCACTCCTTGTCGGTGTTTACCATCACTACGACTTGATAAACATATTGTTTTCTCATTTTGTTTTATTCTGTCTGAGAGGTTCATATGCGTTTCTGCGATACCCAAAATATCCAGTTTCATTTTATCAAATTGCGCTAGAAGTTCTTCCACTTTTGTTGTTCTCTCTAATGTTCAGACATTCCAATATCCAGTTCTTGTTTCTTGTTTTGTTAGTTTAATTTTATTCTTTGTTTGAAATATTATCCGTTCAACACCTTCCTTGCGGGTTTGGATATTGATCTTCATATCTTCACTCACCATCTGATTGAAGCTTTCAAACGCAGAATCAAAAGACTGTTTTGCATTTCGTATTGTTTCCGTAGTAATAAGGTTTTACTGCAAGGCTTGCTAGGCCACAAACCCTCCTCTTTTATCCGGGCTTGGTACCGGCATCGAAAGATGGCAGAGTTTGATAGTATGTGTTCAGAACTATGAGAAGTATTCACAACTAGTCATAGTATGTATTGCGAACTATGGGAACTACTCAGAAGTATTGATAGTATGTATTGAGAACTAAGACAATTATGAGAACTGTTGAGAACGATTTACAGCATGTATTCGGAAGTATGAGAACTGTGCGAATTATTCATCGTGCGTAGTGGGAACTATGAGAACTGTTCCGAGCTATTGATAGTATGTATTGATCACTTTGAGACCTATGAGAACCAGTCATAACTGTTGATAACATGTATTGAGAAGTTAGGTGCCCACAATTCAAAAATCGAGTTAAAGTTTTTTTCTCGACAAATCATACACCATTCGACGCAGTTTTCGACGCTAATTCCGAATATGTAAGATTTGTTGAGAAAAAATGCATTCGTCTAGTAGAAAACCTTCAAATACTGAAAAACCGGCGGATCTACGCTGAATAATGCTGCAATATTTCATTTCTCCACACAAACATCAACTCCTAGTTGGTAGGAATATAAAAAGTATAAAATGCTTTATTTCCGTAAACTTAATACATTTTTATCTAAATGTTTCGACCTTCTACAAGCTTTCTTCGGTGGACACAGGTAAACAAGTAAGAATAGAAACCGACACAAAATAAGAAACAATTAGAATTATTACGGTTGAAATAAAACGTATCTAAATGGGAAAATAGACGGAATTCTACATATGTTTACCCAAAATCTTTATCAAATGGAAAAATTATTACTTCTCAAGCTCTTGGGCTGAAACACAAAACAACAGAAGCGAAGCTTGAACTTCTGAATAGCTCTCATAGTTCTCATGGTTCACAACACATACCATCAACACTTTTGAATAGTTCTCATATTTCCCACTACGCACCATACGTACTTCGCACAGTTCTCGCAGTTCCGAATAGATGCTGTCAATTATTCTGAATAGTTCTCAATAGATCTCACAATTCCCATAGTGCTAAGTGCATACAATCAATAGTTCTGAATAAGTTCTTACTTCTCATCGTTCTCCTAGTGCTCAATAGATACGATCATCAGTTCTGAATACTTCTCATGGTTTGCATAGTTCCCAATACATCCTATTAAGACTTCTGAATAGTTCTGCATACCTCTCATAAGGTGCCCACAATTCAAAGATCAAGTTAAAATTTTTTTCTCGACAAATCATACACCATTCGACGCACTTTTCGACGCTAATTCCGGATATGTAAGGCGCGGAAATGCGACATCTTTCGATTACAAAGTTAATAACTCCGATTAGACAAAAGATAAACTTTTAAATATTACGTCATTCGAACTGTCATGTGACCACGATAAAAGTGACGTGGGCTTTTATTTTTATTTTTCTTCCTTCCAGAGAAAATCACATTTACTTTCTGCAAAGCCGTGACAAGTGGGGTGACTTATTCAACGGTGAGGATCCTATGATCAACGTTTCTCACCTAGTCACTACGATAGATATATCATTCGATAGAGAATTTCATGAGCTTCAAAATGAGCTGTAAACAAGTCTTTCAAAAATATGCCCACATGGGTCAATAGTTGAAATGCTTGACCGATATAATGATTTTTACCTAGCTTACTGCTGTTAACACTCCGTTGGTCGTTTTTTTTGTTGTTACTTACCAAATTTACTTTGTGCAGTTTTAAAGGTATTAAACTTTAATATTTTAACTCTGATGATGAATCGATGATTCGAAGCTCAGATTAAAAATTGATTAATTAGATAAATAAGAAATGAATATAGCTGCAATTAGTGACAAAGAAACTTTTATCGTCAGGGTCCACCCATTCACAAAAGTCAATAAAATGTTGTTTTCCGAGTCAACGCATCAATATTGTCATGAAGACATGCCCATAATGGTCCAAGGATAAGACTTCCTGCTCAGTCATTGACTGTACTTTTTACTTTACAGGCTCAAATTCGACATACTAATTTTGTTACATATGCGCATGCATTAGTTCGATTAGAAATAACTAAGTATAATGATACTGTTTTTCAAGTAGCTGCAGTTTCGTATGATGTTCATACAACATTCAAGTACTGTGTTGTCGCATACTGGTAGGAATATCATGCTAGGAAACAAGAGAGATGAACGAAGAGAAGTAGAAAAAAGAGAAAAAAACGAACTAATATTTGAATAACTCAGATCTTCAAGAAATATTGGCATCTTTATCCGTTGGTGCAACATTGCTTATGCTTCATCCAGGTGGAAATCTTGATATTAAGTTAATGTTGACCCTTATTCAAAAGCAAATGGTCACAGTTGTTGAATTTGTGCCAACAGTTATCTTATTGTTATGCGAACATTTACAAGCAGACAAACAACTTGCTGATTGTCTCCGAACACTGCGCACTTTTCATTCAGGAGGTAAGCCCAGGCCATCATTATTCTAAAAACTGAAGTGTCGCGTTTGTATCGTACTCAACTGTGTCGTAGCAACACTAGGAACAAACTGTTCCGAAATAATGTGTCGCAGATGAAGTATCGTAGTTGCTAAGCTCTTTAAAATACGGCTTTAAGGATGAGCGAGCTTTTTGAAATCCTGAGAACATTAGCTCCACATTTAAGTTCCCTATCTATTTTAATTCTGTTCAACTTTCTTACTTAATTCAGTTTTTAGTCTAATCTAAGCAGGGCTACAACGCATATACCATACCATAGTAGTTTTGTAACAATCATCACTCATTCACAACACAAAGCATAAGCTTTTTATTCTTCGTAGTCTAAGAAAAATGGTTATTCCAAAGAAACTTCATTACCAAAACAAATCGCACTAGATCACATCAACCGCTTGAACTTCGAGAAACAAAATTAACCTCAACTTTAAAGTATCTTCATTTTTACCAATCTTCACAAACATAGTTTGCACAGTAGCCCGAGTTAATATGATGCATCTATTCTGCAGTCGACTTTCCAACCGCTTGAAACTCAGAGAGTGTGCGTACAGGACTTTCATCGTTAAAAACTGATTATGATCTCGTTTTGTTTGAAGGTGAGGATATAAAGTTCAACGTTGTCAAGCAATTGTTGCCGTATCTTAGCCCAGACTGTAAAATACACAACTCGTACGGCATCGCGCAGTCAAGTATTATGTATTTAGCCGTGTGAATATCCCTTACAGCTGCACTAAACGGCAGATATATCGTCCTCGAAAAAGCAAAGCAGACCTACAAAAAAGTCACACAATATCAGATTACTCGCACCCCGCCGAATGTACGATAGCAGCAATATACCATATCCTAACTCCAGAGGA